CGTGGGGGGGCCCGGGCTCGTGGCTCTCGTGGGTCCATGCAGTGAGAGCTGAGGGCCTCGGCTGCTGCTCTCGGGAGGAGGGGAACACTTCTGGGCAGGGCAGAGAGGGAGGGCGGTGCCAGATACACTGTCTCTTAATTTAAGAGACGGACATTTTAAGCTGTACAACCAGAACACAAGAATAGTGTTAGCAGTTGATATATTCTACAGTTCACAACAAATACTCGCTCTGAATACTGCTTGACGGTTCATGTAGTGAAGTTTCCTTTTTTTTTTTTTTTTTTTCCTCTTTTTCTTTTAACAGATTTTAATTTGCACAACACACTAGACACACAAGAACCACAGCTTATCAAAAAAACCAACAGCAATGGTGTTGTCAGGATTTGACTTGCTTTATAAAATTTCTCTGCAGAAAAAAGTGAAAAAAAAAAATCACACCCCGCCCCCTTCCCGACGCAGAACAAGTGCCTCAACCAGCCAACTCCTGCTTTGCTCCAAGGTGACTTTGGAAGTTTCTCCTTGTCACAGACCAAAGGTACGTGTGTGCACTGGCCGTTCCACGGTGAACCTTTCGCACGTTTGGGTACGTTTCTCTCTTCTTGGAACTTGTGCAAATCGGAAGCCACAACTTTAGGGCAGCCTTTAATTTTAAGCCACTGGGCCTTCACCCTCCCATCTGGATTTCATTCACTGGCATGGGCCATGGTGGTGCCAACAGTATCTTGTACAATCACAGGTTAATTGGTGAACATGGGGAATATTCTCATCAGAGTAAGTCAGTCCTTATCCTTCTTACCTCCCCAATTTTTAATTTAACTTTTTTTTTTCCTCTGAGTGGGAATATCAAGCAAAAATAAATTAAATTTGACCATCCTGAACAATAACCACGAGGTTTTTCTCAGTACCTAACATCAATACAAGGCACGCCCAACAACACACACACCATAAGAGCACTGCAGAGCAGGGCAGGGCAACCTGCCAACCCAGACATCTAAGTGCTAACTGTTTGTATATTTGTCAGTTTTCTGCTGCCCTCTTTTCCTTTGCTGGTGCAGAGGAAGTTGGGCTCCTGCCCTCAGTCCTCAGCAGACCTTGTAGCAGACTCCAGACCACAGCTTTCTCTCGTGGCATCACTTCCTGAAGCTGCTCTCCGGGATGGTGAGCGTGCGCCGCCTCAGTTTTCTTCCTGATCCTTCCTCCAGCAAGTAAGTGACATCAATAGCTGCAACAGACCACAGGCTTTTGGTAAAAGAGGGTTGATACGAGTAACAGTTTTTCCTACTTCCCTATTCACAGTTCTTTCAAGGATGTTTCCATCCACAGTGATATTTGAAACTCCACTGGACAAGGCGCTGAGCAACCTGGTTCAAGTTAGAAGTCAGCCCTGCTTTGGGTCACGTTTGGACCTGATGAGCCCCAAAGACCCTTTCACCCTGAATTATTCCATGAGTCCATGATTGTTTTGCTTTAAGTGCGAGAACATGAAAGTGACTGGACAAAACCCATCCTAGGCTTTAAATTAAAAACAGAGACATAACCAGTGCAACC